AACACTCAGCTTTTTGCCACTTTTGAGTGTGACTAGAAAAAGCTGCTCAACTTTGTAGAAATCTGTGACTTTTGTCCATGTAGGGAGCTAGTCTCATAGCTCATATACGCAGGTTTACAAAAAACTGGTTATAATAAGTTTATAGTTTGCTTTTTTCCCTTTTCTGGGTTTTTGTTTGATTTATTTTCTTGTTATCAACATTTGGAACTAGTTAATTGTTTAAACTTGAGGTTAGTTGTGGTATTTATAAGTCTTTAAAAATCGCATGCCGTGTTTTACTTGGAAAATTAAAACTTGAAGAAAATGGAAAAGTTGTAAAAGCAGATCTGTTTTTTAGTTGTTAATTGTACTAGGGCAGAATTAATGAATGAATGACATGACAAATCTGTAACTTGTTTTTTCTTGGCTGGTTATTTAGTGATTATAATTTTCCGTGAAGCACTTTTTGCTAATTTAGAGAATGAACAATATGATACAGAATTTTCTCAATTAAGGAAAGAATTGTGCATTAGATAAGGTTTGGATTGTCTAGCAAATTTGTTAAATACACTTTTGCCATTGACTTAATATAATTAATATGTCTTTTTCATTTGTTTTCCATGTAATAGAATCAAAGCTTATTCACTGTTACAGCTTCTGGACGAGTAGTGAAAAAACACTTTAACCTTCTGGATGATGACCCAGAACAAGAGGTATTACTTTAACCAGACTTAAAAAACAGACCCAGGGTATACTTGTCCTGGGATTTTTCTACATTATGCTTTCCAGCCTCTGGGGAGGGCAGATGGAGATGTCCAGACAGGGTGGGTAAGGTTCTGGCTATTGTTTCCTCTGATGCTACCCACCATCCTTTCTTTTCTTGTTGAAATGATTCATAAAATTTTCTTTGCAGAAAGGTTTATGGAATTCTTTGGGGGAAAACCTATTAGCATATTGGTTTCTTTCATTAATGTACACTTTTTCTAAAGTTTCATAATTCTTGATTTATGTTTTAATATGTTTATGACTTTTGCTGGATTCTTCATTTACTAGACAGGGATATGTTTCTTATCATACTAATGTTCCTGGGCCAGGAGAGGAGGGAGTGGCAGGGTGCAGCAAATGAGTTTGGTCTGTGGCCTCAGTTTGGCATTATCAGTGACTGAGCAAGTGCCTTTTTATCCTTTTCCTTCAAAGAGGCATGCACAGTATGTAATGAAATCAACTGACGACATGAAATCAGTGATCATGCCTCAAATGACTTCTATAAATATTAAATCTCTTTATATTAACTATATTGTTTGTGTTAATTAGGGCCATGCCAGTGTGTGGTAAGGCGTTGTCCTGCTAACCAAAAAGGCTCACAGTTCAAACCGCCAGCTGCTCTGCGGGAGTAAAGTAGGCAGTCTCCTTCCGTACAATTTATTGCCTTTGACAATCCCAGAGAGTCAGCTACTGTCATTTCTGACAGTACAGAACAACAACAGCAACATAGAAATGTTAGCCTCCTAAAAATTCCCAATTTGTGTGGTTTGTTTCTTTGAAAAACTTTTAAGTGGCTCAGAGGTGGGCCTAGTATGTGACTGCTATCCAATAATAAAAACAATGTTTATTCTTTTGAACCATAGAAACCTGAAAACAAAGCAAAAAACTTCCTGTCCTTAATATAAAGCTATGTTTAAGAAAGACACACTAAAGTTGCTAAAAGGTACCAAGAACAAATAACATGTGCACAAACTGGTAGCAAAGAAGATAGAAGCTCTACGTTGAGATTTAGAAAATAAAAACTTTTAGCCTGTAGAGAAAAAGCAAAAAGGACTTGTGACTATAACATACTAGATTACACTAAGATAGAAGCCACCCTTTGACGTTCGCCAAGGTAAAGTGAGTGTAAAACAGGTACATTTTTAAATTTTTTTAAAAATAAAACCCACAGATAACAAATTGTAATTTTATATAACATAAGATATTAAAGGCAGAAAATACAGATGTGTTAATAAGTGATTTGACAAAATGTACATGGCTAGTTAGTACATGGTAATTAACAAAAGCTCCCGAGCCTCCCTTTAAGGTTGATACCAGGCAGTTGACCAAGGTGTGCCACTTTGTGGCTTGCCTCTGTGATTGGGCACTGGTCTCATAAATAGTCTGTGAGGCTGATGGTGTCTCAGGCAGGGTTATGGTGCTAGCCTTGTCTGTCTAAAGTCTTTACCACTTCTAACTAAGAACTTCTTTTGTCCCAGTTATATTCAAGTATGGGCAGTCAGTTTCGCTTTTTTAAAGTAGCCAAATAAGAAAGAATAGCAAAGTCATAAATAGGATAAGGAAGAGCTATTGGTCTTTTTTTGAAAGGACTGTTTTTCCGAATTCCAGGCAATCTGCAGATCTCCGAACTGAGCTTCATCTACTTACTCAGTCTGGAAGTCAGTGAATACACAAACAGTAGTTCAATACCTCTCTTAAAGTTGGAGATCATCATAGAAAATTTAATTATACTTTGAGATCGTTGTACATTTGTTTCTGTTAAAGCTATATAGGATTCTGCTTAACTCTTGGAAATCTTGGGGTATTGTTTTAGTGGGCATATAAGTAGAGATGTTATTTTTTTTATTTTTTCACTTATTCATTCTCCATTCTACCATATACATAAGTAATAAACTAGTTAAACTGCAAATATAGGTATACTGCTAACTGCATTTTCTCCCCTTTTTCTTCTGTTACTCTACATATCTTATAAGACTTTCAAAATTGTGGATTATGAAGATGAGTTAGATTTGCTTTCTGTGGTAGCTGTTACTCAACTAGATGTGGAAGGGAAAGCTCACTTGGATTTCCACTGTAATGAATATGGAACTTTACTAAAAAGCATTCCATTAACGGAGTCCTGGGATGTGGTGAGTAAAGCCCAGTATTTTAAGAGTTTCCTTTAAAGGGGACATAAGTTGCAAAGATGTCTCTATGGTCCTGTCATCCCAGACTTATACCAATGACCACATGAAAGAGTTTATTATTCTGTGTACTTGTTAGTTTCATCAAGTCAACTACAACTCATAGTGATCCTATGAAGAACACATTGAACCTTGCCCTAGCCTGCCATTCTCACAGTCTCTGAGATTCTGTAGGAAGGCGTTATGCTGAGTGAACTAACTCAGTCCTACAAGGACAAATATTGTATAAAACCATTATTGCAGAGTAAGAAAATCCAAAGGAGGGAGTGGAAACAGGGATGAGGATGTGTGGGGTGGAAGGATTAATCATGGAGTTGTACAATTTGATGGGTTGGGAGGTGAGGGAAGTTGGAAGAACCTTGTCTTAAAAATAATGTATTTAAATTTTGTAAATACACTAGTATAATTTTTTTTTTTAAAAAGGGGGTTTTCTCAAGTTGTAGTTGTCTTTTTCCTTGCTACAGTATTTGATTTTCTCCAGTTTTATGATCTTGTTAACATTTTTGAGACTGCACTGCCATGAATCTTCAAATTTAATCAGTCATTTACTCATTACCATTTAATATTGCTCTATTAAATAAAGTATATTAACTATTGTTTTATTTAAGAGAGACCCTTTCTAAGCATGTAGGGTTTCCAAGTACTCTGGAAGTGTTTATTTGCTCTTATGACTATTTTCTAATATGAAAGTTCTGAGTAGGTAGTATTTTATTCAATCCTTGCGTACGTGTGTGCATATGTACTTTCCCATTTGTTTATTTCTTTTTAACATTAAAAGCTCAATCCTTGTTTTACCAGTGTAAAGCCTGGTACGTTCAGCTACTCACAAAATGAGATAGTAGCAGTGTTGGAAGTAGATCCTGGTGACTTCTGAATCCAGGACTCTTCATTCTTCATATTTTATTCATTGCTTTTCCCATAAATAGTCTTTCTAGCCACAAATACGGAAACATAGGCCATTTTCTAACTCTAGGTGTATTTTTTTTGTTACAGACTTATAGTCATGAAGTCTATTTTGACAGAGATTTGGTACTACACATAGAACAGAAACCCAACAGAGTCTTCAGCTGCTACGTTTACCAGATGATATGTGCCACAGGGGAGGAAGAAGAAACTGTAAATGTAGCCAGAAATTGTTAAATAAAAATAAGGTACTCTCAAGTTGTGAGGTATAACTTCTAAAACTTTTAGGCAAATTCCCCAACAGCTGTGCCCATCTTCATTTTTATATACTGTTTAGCAAATCTTCGAGTATTTTTCCAGAAGAGATTTTTGTGTTGATCTCAGATGACTGTGGCTTCTTTTTTAAATTCTTAACTCTGGAGAATGGTGACAACTTCATTTTATGTACATTTTTAAAGAATAATGTCTAGCCAAGTGTTTGGGAGCTTTTAGGTAAATACAGGATTAGTAAATTCTAAATATTAGAGAGAGAATCATTGATGGGGAAGTATTTAGGATGGTTCTTAAAAGATGGCATTTGATTTTGATAGGTAACACTAGAAAGAAGAGACAAAGTAAAACTTTTATAAAGACACAAAAAGAGGTCCAGAAGAAATGAGATCTTTTATATCAAAGTGTACACTTTGGAGCCTAAAAAAGGTATCATGGTCTGATTTTTGTCTTTTTCCTTTTTAAATCTGATATATGTATATGTTTTATTCTTGTAGAAGAGCCCTGGTGGCTTAGTGTGTCCCTTATTGGGCTGCCAACCAAAAGGTTGGCAGTTCAAATACACCAGTTACTGTGCCAGTGTAGAGAGATGGACATTCTTGTAAAGATTTATGGCTTTAGAAACTAATGGAAGATCCCTGAGAGTCAGAATTTACTAAGTGGCAATGAGTTTAGTTCAAGTTTTGTTTATCTCATGGTGCTGTTTTGACTGAAATACTCCAAATGAGAGGCTGTAATGAAGAGATCCTTCTTCATACAGTCCAACTTCTTGATTTTTCATCCTTTCTAGAAAGCAAGTACAGTGCTATGTAAAAGTAGAATGCTTACTTTCTGTTTCCAAGAGTGTTTTAGAAAAGGATGTCTTAAAAAAAATCCTGTCCAAGATTTTTTTAAAATGATGTTTATTGAGTTTCCTCTTTTAACTCATTCCCTTCGTTTTGATTAAATGATAATAAGGAGTCCATTTACTCAAAAAAAGCACTTGAAAAATAACTCAGATTTCCTGGCTACTTTTCTGGTGGGAAGAGGAAGTGGAATACTTGTACTCTAGATAAGACCTGACCACTGAGAAACTCCCTGTGCATTTCTCCCAACGTCTAACTAGGCTATTATGCAAATACCATGTGGACCAGATTGGAAATATGTCTGGTGTACAAGGCAGTAGGGAGTTGTGGGCAGTGTAACAAACAGAGAAAGTACAACTAAAAGCATGACTGCTGCTATCCACTTGCAGCCAATTGTAGCTTTATGTGGCAGTGTGGACTATGTGATTGTTAAACAGTATGGTTGACAAAAAGGTGCCACAAAAAAATATGGGAAATTTCTGTATACCACACAAAGCAGGAAACAATACATGCTTTCCAAAAGGTATCTCCTTCCCATCTCCCCATGGTGGCTTGCAGCTGCTCATTCTACCTCCTGCTGATTTTGTCATTTTCTTGGGGTACTCGGGAAAGTGGTGGTTAATACCGTCCTACCCCACACAGGTGCTAGTGACATGGATAAGGAATAATGAATAGCATTCTTGAATGTTGGGTGCTTATCTCAGTAAGTCCAGATAGTAAGCTGGTAAAAAATGTATGATCTTGCATTTCACTCCTTAACCTAGAATTATGTATTCTCATAGTATCAGTGTAGCAAGTTTGTTTGTTAACTTTCTAAAATGTATCTCACAATTCTGGGGGGGGGGACCAAAATAAATCTTATCTTAGGGGGGGAAAACACCCCAAAATAAATCTTACCTTGGGAAAAAACCAAAATAATCTGGTGAGGACATGGTTCTGTAATGATATTGTAATTGGTAAAACAAATATTTTGTATCTCACACAGTATTGTCTTTTTGAATAATACCCAGCCCACTGCCATTGAGTTGATTCCAGCTCATGGTTCCCTCCATTGGGTTTCCAAAACTACATATCCTACCTGGAGCCGACTGCCTCATCGTTCTCCAGAGGAACAGCTGGTGGTGCAAACTGCAGACCTTCTGATTAACAGCCCAACACTTAACCCACCAGGACTGTCTCACTACCACCCATTCAATGTGTGACACATGTAAAAAAGATTATCTAATATTCAGAATATGTGTAAATATTATGAACCTTTATTACTCATCCCATTTTACAAGTGAGGAAATTTGAAGTTTATGGAAATAATTTGCTAAACCCTACAACTAATAAATACAGAGATGGAAAACACATCATATTTCTTTGGCATGAATTTATACTGAATTTATTTCAAAGATTTCAAGAGGTAATAGATAGTATTCATTTCTTTTTTAGCAATTATAATATTTATTAATTAAACAATTATAATGCTAGGTACACAAGAAAATCCTTACTAAACATTTTATAAATGATGGTTTAAATGTCCAAATTTTGGAGAAAGCTGATTGGTAAACAACTTGGCTTATTCAGATCTTGGTATAAAACATTAATTCTTCTTTTAATGTTAGAGGTAGTTTTAAAATGATACCTACAATGAACTCTCATTTTGTCTGATAATAAACAATATTATTCATTACTCTGACTATAGCTTGTTTTCCTTTTCAAGAATAATTTTTATATTTTCATCTTTTTCTTGCCATGTTTACACATACCATTTACTTTTTGGAGTTCCAGGGATGATTCAAGAGCCAATTTCTTATATTGCTATAAAATCTCTATCTTACAAAAGTAAAGGGGGAACTTACTAATTCGGGTAAAGTATGTAAAGTGAAAAGATAAGACCAACTGAGCACTTTTAACCTATCATTCTGTTTTGAAAATTTTCATTTAATAGGTGCATGAAGTAAAATGCAGAAGTCATAAGTATAAATCTGATTTTTCACACATACATTTCACTGTATAATACAAAACCTTTAAAATTTGGAACATTACAATTGCAGAAAGTTTTCTCACTGCTTTTTCCAGTCAATCCTCAACCCATCTCACAAGTGTAATGACTATTGAGACTCTTTTGCACTACAAATTAAATTTCCCTATTTTAAAACTTAAGTAATACAAGTGTGCTGTTGTTTTTGGCGTTTTCTTCATGTTGCATCTATCAATAGTGCATTCCTTTGTGGTGATAATTGTTTCATTGTATGTATGGTATGTCAGTTTGTTTTTTCATTTTCCTATTGATGGGCACTGGGCTGTTACCACTCTGACTATTATAAATAAAACAGCTATGATATTCTTGTGAAAAATTTTGTGAAGATACTTTTTATTGGATAAATATCTAGGGATGGAATTGTGAGGTACTAGGGTAAATATGGCATCCACTTCTAAACAACATGCCTCTGGAAACTATGAACTTTGATAAATAACAGTTCTAGAAAGGCTTCAGGCCTTTTGTTCATAGGGTCACTATGAGTCATGTTCAACTCGATGGCAATCAACAGGTTAAGTATAGGTTCATAGTTATTTCAGAAGTGGATGGCCAATCCTTCTGCCTAGTCTATCTTAATCTAGGAGCTCCACTAAACCTCTCCACCATGGGTGAGCCTTCTGGCATTCAACACACTGGGGACACAGCTTTCAGCATCACAGCAACACTTAAGTACAGTAAGCTGACTGACAGACAAGTACTATACTAATTACAATAATGATAAACATGCAAGAATTCAGATATCCAGGCTACAAAGTAATTACCAATATGCAGCTCAATTTTCCAATACAACAAATTGCTGACAGTCTCACAGTGTAGGATGCTTCATGTTTGAATCCCGAGACTCAAGTACCAGCTCTAAGGGAAAGCTTTCTCTCTGACAGTTCTGGAGAAGGTCTTTGTCTCTGAGTTTCTGCTCCAGGACCATATTCCTGTGGCTCCTGGTTGCTGGAGCCTTGCAGCTGAGGTGCACACGTGGCAAACCAGGATGATATCCTGGTGGAGAGGACTTGAAGATTTCAGCCTTCAATATGGATTCATCTCAACATCAAGAAAACCAAAATCCTCACCAATGGACCAATAGGCAACATCACGGTAGATGGACAAAAGATTGAGACTGTCAATGATGCCATCTTACTTGGATCCACAATCAATCTTACTTGGATCCACAATCCAGTACTAGCAGTCAGAAAAATCAGGTGATGGGGAAGTGTAGTCAGAGATCTCTCCAAATTACTAAGGAGCAGTGATGTCAGTTGGAAGACGAAGGTGCAGCTGATTCAAGCTGTAGCCTTTCAGTCATTTGCTAAGAATCTGAAAGCTTGACAGTCAGGATGACAGAAGAGTTGATACCTTCGAATTGTGGTATTGAAGAAGTGTGCGGATTGTCCCACGGACTACCAAAAGAACAAACAGAGATGTCTTGAAGAAGGACCAGTGAGTGATCCTTGGAGGCAAAGATGATGAAGCTTTGTCTTAAGTACTTTAAGCAGGTTGCTGGGAGAGGCTATTCCTTGATGAGAAACATGCTTGAAAAGGTGGAGGGACAGAGCCGGAACAGAAGACCCTCAACCAAGTGTGTTGACACAGTCACTGCTTAAGTGTGTCTGAGATTGTGAGGATAGAGCAGCGTTCAGATCTGTTCATAGGGTCACCGTGAGTCGTTTGATTAGACAACACCTTGTAACAACAATAAAGTAAGTATAGGTAGCTCTGGTGGCTGCTTAGTAGTAAGGTGTTGAGCTGCCAGCCCTAGGTACTAGGTTCGTATCACCAGCTGCTCCGTGGGAGAAGGATGGGCAATATCTTCCCATGTGTTTAACAGCCTCTGAAAACCTGCTGGAGGGTCAGCTATGAATCAGTTCAGACTCAACATTACATAAAAATAAGGGTAAGTCATAGTCGGCTGACCTTTTTCCCAAAGGATTAGATTATTATATATTGCCTACAATGCATGATTTCAATTGTTCTTCATCAAATCAACATTTGTAGTAATCTTTTTCATTTTTTTTTTAAATTTATGATGGGCACATACGTAATCATTGCTGTTTTATACTCATACTGTTCCTGCTTGTGTCGAGAAACCTCTCATGGGGTTG